TGGGAGGGATTGGGAGGGACTGGGAGGGACTGGGAGGGGACTGGGATGGACTGGGAGGGACTGGGGGAGCACTGGTCCCAAACTGGGATCACTGGGAGGATCACCAGTCCCAGACTGGGATCGCCGGTCCCGTACTGGGATCACCGGTCCCGTACTGGGATCACTGGTCCCAAACTGGGATCACCAGTCCCATACTGGGATCACTGGTCCCAAACTGGGATCACCAGTCCCAAACTGGGATCACCGGTCCCAAACTGGGATCACTGGTCCCATACTGGGATCACTGGGAGGATCACCAGTCCCAAACTGGGATCACCAGTCCCAAACTGGGATCACTGGTCCCATACTGGGATCACTGGTCCCAAACTGGGATCACTGGTCCCGTACTGGTCCCACAGCTCTGTCCCCTCCCCCGCAGGTGAGCGACGCGCTGGGGGGAGGGGCGGCGGCCGTTTCGTACCAGCGGGGGGCGGGGGCTCTGCTGAGGGCGCTGCTGCTGCTGCCCTTCGCCGCCGCCCTGGGCGGGGCCGCGTTCCTCGCCGCCGGAAACGCCCTGCCCGGGGACCGGCGCCGCGCCCGCCGCGAGGCTCAGGGTGAGGAACAACCCCGGAACCTTCCGGAAACCCAGAGAACCCCTTGGAACCTTCCAGAACCCCATGGAATCTTCTAGAAACCCATAAAAACCCAATAGAACCTTCTAGAAATCCATGGAACCTTCCAGAAACCCAGAGAACCCCATGGAACCTTCCAGGACACCACAGAACCCCATGGAATCTTCTAGAAACCCATAAAAACCCCATAGAACCTTCTAGAAATCCATGGAACCTTCCAGAAACCCAGAGAACCCCATGGAACCTTCCAGGACACCACAGAACCCCATGGAATCTTCTAGAAACCCATAAAAACATCATAGAACCTTCTAGAAATCTCATAGAACTTTCCAGAACCCCATAGAACCCCATGGAACCTTCCAGAACCCCATGGAATCTTCTAGAAACCCATAAAAACATCATAGAACCTTCTAGAAATCTCATAGACCTTTCCAGAACCCCATAGAACCCCATGGAACCTTCCAGAACCCCATGGAATCTTCTAGAAACCCATAAAAACATCATAGAACCTTCTAGAAATCTCATAGACCTTTCCAGAACCCCATAGAACCCCATGGAACCTTCCAGAACCCCATGGAATCTTCTAGAAACCCATAAAAACATCATAGAACCTTCTAGAAATCTCATAGAACCTTCCAGAAACCCAGAGGAACCTTCTAGAACCTCATAGAAGCCCATGGCACCTTCCAGAACCCTGTGGAACCTTCCAGAAACCCAGAGAACCTCATGGAACCCAATATAACCCCATGGAACCTTCCAGAAACCCAGAGAACCTTCTAGAAATCCAT